TAATTAGTATCGTCGCACTTTACAAAAACGCATGCATCAACTTCGATTACACTGGTTTATTGCTTGTACAGAATGTATTTTTTGTTTATATCAAGAATTTGAACGCGAAGCGTCCCTGATAAGATGTTTTCTCTGACGTTTTACATGAATTTGAAACCGATCGCAATTGACCTACTGCTAGTACAGAATGTAGTTTTTTTAATCAAGAATTTGAACTCAAAGCCGTCTCTGATTAGATGTTTTCTCTGACGTTTTACTTGCGTTTGAAACCGATCGCATTTTGGCCTACTGCTTGTACAGTAGTTTGTTTATATACATTTATCAAGAATTTAACTTGAAGTGTCTTTGATCAGATGTTTTCCCTGATGTTTTAATGGAATTTGAGACCTATGCATGTTTGTACATTAGTTTGTTTACACAACAGGTATTAAGAATTTGAACTCAAGGTGTCTTAGATCAGATGTTTTCCCCTGACGCCTTGCATTTGAATCCTATTGCATTTTGGCCTACTGCTTGTAAAGAATGTATTTGTTTTATATCAAGAGTTTGAACTCGAAGCATTTCTGATCAGATGTTTTCCCCTGACGTTTTACTTGCATTTGAACCCGATTTTTGTACACTGCCTGTCAGAATCATGATCATATTTCATTTTTCCTGTCGCCATGCTCCCAATTACTACTGCCAATCTTCATAATTTCAATATTGCTTTCATCTTTCTCTCACACGTAGCCAGTCACCTTTGACCTTTTGCTTCAGCTACAGCCACAATCCTACCCCCCCCCCCAAGAAGCAGAACACTACCCACAAATCAAACAAAATTACAACATTCTTAAACTCATAACCAAAGGTCCTTTTTTCACAAGTTTATTCAGTTGATAATGCAACAGACTGCTGTTGTCTTTTTCAATGTTGATATAACATTCCAAATTATCACATCTTAATTAATAGAAATAAAGATTCTCATAATCTCATTCAAAATTAACTGCTGTTGTCTTTTTCAATGTTGATATAAAATTCCAAATTATCACATCTTAATTAATAGAAATAAAGATTCTCATAATCTCATTCAAAATTAACTGTTGTTGTCTTTTTCAACGTTGATATAACATTCCAAATTATCACATCTTAATTAATAGAAATAAAGATTCTCATAATCTCATTCAAAATTAACTGCTGTTGTCATTTTCAATGTTGATATTACATTCCAAATTATCACATCTTAATTAATAGAAATAAAGATTCTCATAATCTCATTCAAAATTAATTACTGTTGTCATGATCATTATCCAGCTAGAATGATATATGGTTTAAAACGGAATTTATATTGCAAACAATGCAGTTTTCTAAATGCATTCATATTGTTGCGATCCATAGACCTCTATTACGTGTCATTAAACTACAAAATAGTCATTGCAAAACTTAATTCAATTCTTTTTCATCATGGTCCTGAAAATTAATTAGCACATCATGATAATCTGATTTACATTACCATAATTATGTAGTTAATTTCCTCTCAACACATGTAAGGAAACCTTAATTGTTTTAGAATGCTCAACAGTGCTAATCGGTGGAATAATTAGAAATGCTCACTTTAAGAAAAAAAGAATATCAATGAAAATTCATGAGTAAATAATTCATCACATAGTCCCTACTCCCAGGAGTAAAACCTCAATAGAAGAAAACTCTATCTCTACTAATAAAAATGAAACACAAACCATTACCATAACAATAAAATAAAAACCACCAATAGTTCATTATCAGTGTAAGAACTAAAAACCAAAACAGGAATTGAGATTCCCAGTTAAAACTACAGACTCGGAAGTTGGAAGGAAATAAATCTCATAGATTATACATAGTATGCACAGACTTTACCAATAATAGGCAATATGAATTAGGATACCAATCAAGTAACAAATATGTTTAAACAATCAAAGGGTGTTTCACAACGATCAACTTAAGTTGGCCTTGAACTATGGACCAGGACTTGTCTTGAACTATGTCTATAACAGGTGTTATTCCAATCCTCTTACTTTCCATTCATACTACTGCTTTCTCTAATCATTCCTAGCATTGGTCTCTCATGGGAAGTACAAATTATGGTCACAAATCTACAGATTTATATATTTTGATAGTTTATTGTTATAATAAAAAATTATCTAATGATCAGGATATTTTTCCTCTAATTTTATGTCTGATTCAAGACTTTCCAAGGGCATAAATTGCCTACTAAGTACAAGTCTAAGTCTTAAGTAGAAATTGAATTTAAGTCATTTTTTCTTCAACAATGAACTATAAAAGAATGTCAATTCTGTAGATTTGTGACCATGATTTGCACGTTCCTTGAGAGACCAATTGTAAGAGCAACCAGTGGCATGAACGGCATATGCCATAGTTCAAGTCCCACTTAAATTGTTCTTAGTCTTTGCGAAACACCTCCTGGCCTATTTTGTTCTCTTTCTACATTCAACATTCAAAACATAATCACAGAAATCACATATAAACATGTTACAGAGAACAATAGTTTTCACATTGACATATCTCATTCAAAATATAACTTTTTTGACAATAAATATGAAGGAAGTCATGGTACAGGAATTTTTTTAATTTTTGAATCAATAATTAAACAAGGTACAGATATATACAAACAATTCGAGTTGAATTTACAAGATCATGATGCTATAGAAGTTCTATATATATGGAACACTTTGTTGCATACATTATATATTCCCATCTATAAAGAATACACTTTATTTAAAAGTAACATTTGGCTTTGGTATGTACTCTGTCAATCAAATAAAAAGAATTAATTAACGAGCATAACGTTGCTTGTAAGGAAATCAAAAGAAGTTTTAAAAATATCAAAATGCTATACAGAAAAAAAATCATATGTTCCTCTTTTTTTCTCGCTCTGTCTTTTATTTCTTTTAAATTAATTTTTTTTTGGAGGGGAATTTTTTTCTTAGTCTTATCTCTCTTCAAATTGGCAACTACACTACATGGTTACTAACATCTTAATTCTCTTATCTAAAATAAATACTTCATCTTGATAGCAACACTGCCTGATAATGTAAATTGCATAAAATAAACTGATACCACTCATAAACAAATCCAATTTGTATGAACAGAACATGTCTGAATTAGACCCAGAATATTACTCAAGAAAAAAAAAGATAAAATAAAACATAAAACATTAAAACACGGTCTAATTACATGTTAAAGTAAATGGACAGAAAAATAAATCAGAGATGGATAAAAATAAATCAGAGATGGATAAAAATAAATCATGATAATTCACTAAGTATGACAGGCTAATATGTTTCACTTTCACTGACAATTTTACTGTAAAATGTCAACTCCGCTGTACATGTACCTACTTGGGCTGAAAGTTTATCATATTTATGAAATAAAAAGTTACATACGGAATGACATAAGTATACACAAACAATTACACATAAATTTACATGTACAGTATGCAAGCTGTTATTTTAAGCTTTATCACATAAAAAGGGAGAACTAAAATCAATTTACATGTATTGTATACCATTATGGGCAATTTGACACAAATCTGAATACTGTCTTTCTTTAACACAGAGTTAATGTACTTCTGGCTGTGAACAGATGACTTTGATGTATTAATAAATGAACTCATCTCATTTTAATAACACATCAAAATGATCAAATTCATAGTTTCATTCATGATTGAAAGAAAACAACCAGACTCGGAATTGCACAAAATAAATATGAATCCAAGCCTGACCTTAGTGTTACAGCTACATGTAAATATTTATTGTACAATTCTACATGCAGTTTCTATAGAGGTATTCAAAAATAAATCACTTTGTCACCAGAACCTCATTAAGTGGCCCAACTGGGTGTTAAGTCCATTAATCAGTCATACTTCATTAATTATTCAACGTGATACAAAGTGCAAATATTCTGTTTCTGACTCATTTATCTGAACACTAATGGACCTTGTTTTACAATCAGACGCGCCCTTTTATTTCTATTCATGCATGTACATGGACAAGTGCATTGGCTGGAAACACACAAGCAGAGTCACTATGAACATGACAGACAAAGAAAGCGGACAAAATATACAGTTCCTCAGGTAGACAAAGGAACATCCCTTCACTGCTATTATGTAAAAAGGTGAATATGCATGTGACACCTGTTCTACAAATTTTTACATAATAGCAGTGAAGGGATGTTCCTTTGTCTACCCGAGGAACTGTATATTTTGTCCGCTTTCTTTGTCAGTCATGTTCATAGTGAGTGTATTTGAAATTGCTACATATACTGGTATTATACAAGATGTCTTGATTTAGAGAATTATATCACATGCAATCCCAAGTTATGCCAATGCCATTAACCTCAACAGACTTCACAGATGAATGAAACTGAATGCTCTGGGTATACAGAGAGCACAAATCAAATACTCAAGTACAGGATTTCATGCTTTCATGGGTGCACACACACAATGGATGGTGTAACAAGAAGAATTTTAAAGAACTGCAAATTCATCACTATTTCAAAATGCATTGTAAAGAATATTAAGTTCTCTTCAATGTCAGGGTGCTGTTTTTGTTTGTTGGGCTTTTAGCACAGGGGGGTTAGCCCCATATTTACATGATTAGCGGGTGGTCCTGCACTCAAAATTTATGTGCCGTGCACCTTGAAGTTGAACTGTTCTTGAGCTTTTGCTTTGGATCACTTCTCATCTTCCAGACGGTTCTATCAGGTCCATCCATAGTATCAGGCAGATTTCACTGTCATCTCCCTGATAGAATCTAGCAAAATGTGTACCGTCAGACAAAGCATTTTGGGGCCAGATGGTACATGCACACTTCATCACCAGAGTGATTAGTTTGCAATAAGCATAAGCTTTATAATGTTGCCATGACAATTGTCACAATACCCTACCATGATGGGGTGAAAAAGATTGTTTTTTTATCTCCCAATTAGGAACTATTCCTAAGTAACATTATGTGAAGACTGATATATTGCTTAAGTGATAAACATCAAACAAGTAGTCCCTACAGCGACATAAATACACACAGGACATAGAAAAGGAACTCTGGAAGATAACAAAAGAGCCCTGTTTAAAAAAAGTATAATAAATAATAGGCCTACATATCACTGCAATCAAATCTCTTGTTGAAGAGCAAATGACCAAAAGATCTATATTAACACAAGCAACAACAAAAAAAATTCTTTTTTTATGATGTACAAACAGTACAATCAATGTACAAAATGAATAGAGGTACATGTACATCTATACTTAGCCACATGAACATAACTTTATTAAGTACATCAACTGATTACCAGTAAAAGCAGACTGTTGTATCTTACACTGTAGCTTCTCTATCATCTTAGGGAAATTAAGCCCATAAAATGAAAGTATTACAATTACACTCATTATTTGCAGTGAACTATTTTGGAGATTCAATCCTCGAGTGTTCTCCCTTTTTCTCCAACATTGCAATTATTTTCAATTTTTATTTCCTTTGGTTTCATTTTCATTTGGTAACATTACAAGAAATGGTCTATTGTCACAATCGGTGCATGTTGACATCACCTGTCCTTTCTACTAAAGGCAACACTGATGCTAACATAGCAATTGTGACAATTAATTGCTATCCTTGTATAATTTTCCTGCTCATTGTTAACTTTGTCAAGGCTCTTTGTGAGTCACACAAATATCAATGTGAAACATACAATAGCCAAATACATGTAAATACATGTAAATACATGAGTTGGAATAAAATCTTCATTTTACAGTTACCGGTATTCTTCTCTCTTGGAAATTCAGCTCCTTCCAAACTAATTGTACAACCAAGGAGTTAAGATGGTTCAACACCCATACTTGTCCTGTGTTCTGCTTACAGTGTCGTAAAGAGTAACAAATCTGAAGAGTGTGTACCCTGTACATGGGCTGATGACTCGGCTGAATGGACTTTGTTATGAAACACTTCAAAAGAGCCTACAATGTACATTCACACAAAAACAGAAGGTGCATGTCCACGTATGCAGTTTTGGTTAATTACATAATTACCCCAAATTGAGCTTGTATAAGAATGTCACAAAGATAGGCTTGATAAGATAACATAGAGAGCCAGAAGGGCGTTAATTCTATATAAAACTATGTGAGTCAAATACTCAATGCCCTTATGGGTCTAAATACTAATGGATGGCGAGATAAAGCTGCTCTGTACATCTACAAGTATGTAAATAGAAATGCTGATTGTTGACATAAAATGCTTTGTGATGGTAAAGTACACTGTAGTCAGTGAAGGGTGATACTGATAGGTATAGTATAGCACTGCACTGCGTCAATACATAGGCCTAGAATGTAGTTAGCGATGAATGCAAATGGAGGTTGACTGTAATTTATGAGGCTTCTACATGCATGCACAGATAGCTCCTTGCTCAAACATCTGTTATTCAATCTTCATTAGGCCTACATGATCCCACCACAATGTGTATATAATTATATAGCCCCTTATGAATCCTCTGATTGCACTTTCAAGGTCCGATGCACATAAATGCCACCCTGAACTCGTTTTTAAATGGACATCTCTTGTCTCTCTTCTGGAAATCATAAACTTATATAGCAAACTAGACTCAAATGAGTATGCTGCAAGCAATGCAGAAATGTTGCAATAGGCAATTTTGGTATTGTAATATACATGTTTTCGTTTCATGCCTCTTTACTAAATTATGTTATTCATTTATTAATTGTATTTCAATGGAGCAGAATGCAAATTGAGTACATTACATGTTTTAAGGCAGGGCAAGCCCCAATGCTTGTCTAGCCTAGCAACAGATAACGTATCTAATTTGCATTCTGATTACTGAAATAGAAATATTTGTAACAGGCCAATGCAATGACTTGCTGCCAGGTCATTTTCAACTTTGAATACATTTGAAAATGGCTGGTATATTACTATACTCCTTCAGTTCCGCCTACCAAGATCATCACAAGCTGATTGGAGTTGGAGCTGAATCATCAAATGAGTATGCCTTGAACAAGTTACATGGACGAGAAGCAATGCAAAATACAATAATTGTTTTAATACCTCGTACACAAAAGTGCCAGTACATTTCTTTTAACTTCAATACTGTATGGGTCAATACTGACCTATCGGATAACATATCAAAGTATCAATTTATCAAGTGGAAAAGGCGCCACGTTTATTTTTTCCCATTTTCCTCATTATTCTTACTGGTACATCAACAAACACGTATGCCTTTAAATCAAGAAAGGGCCGACATGTACATTGTCTTAGACAAATGGATAAGTAGAGTATGCATTTAATGCAGGCATGAGTTGAATGTTAAATTATATATACTCCTTAAGTATGTGGGATTATAATGGTTTGAATACACACTTGAGTTGAATATATCTGATGGATAAACATATGTAATGCTTCATCTTCATAAAACTGTAGACTTTATCAAAACTATTATCAAATTTCAAATTTCTTGCATGAAATGTACATGGAATGAATACATGTACAGTAGTTCTTGATATTTTTATATTGCATCATTTGCATGTATAATTTATTATACATACATGTGTACATTATACATTCAAGAAAAGAAAATAATGATATTGAATGTAAAAGGGTATACCGGTATGGACGATGTATGTACATGACTACATGTACATGTACCTACACATGACTGTAGCCATTTTGATCATTCTGACAAGCGTGTACTCAATACATGCATGAGTTGGACGAGTTCACAGCTCGTACAATCTGTACAACAGTTTTGCTTAGCTCCTCTGAAAACAGAATCTGATTTCAGTTTATGGGACGTTAATTGTGGTGTATGGCCCAATCCATTTGTTGTTATTCCTTTAAAGCATGATCAATTCACTTTTCTTGCTATCAAAGCTGTTATCCATTGACAAAAAAGCAGGACAAATAATGCATTATACAAGTATCTGCTATGCTTTTAAAATATCAATTTTAAGCATCATGTGTAGCTTCATAAGTAATTTAATGCTTAAAAAAATATCCAGGTTTCTATCTGAAACCCATCCAAAGTATAAATAATGCTACATGGCTCAAAATCAAGTGTTTCAAAAGTACTGGAGTTGAATACGTTTTAGTAAATTGACACAAGAAAGATTTACAATTGGTATCGTCACCTGACTCGTCACCTGACTAGTCACCTGATAGATCGTCTGTTCAGAGCCAGAAGGGCGTTGGCCCTCTATCAAGACTGGCTCCAAACAGATGAAATGATAATGTGACACAAAAATGGAATCAGATTTTTCTAATATATCTAATATCTTCTAATATCTACCCTTTCCATCTGCCTCAAAGGATCAAAGATTACATTTCATAATTTTTACAACGTTTGTACAAAATAAATAGGCAACATTTTCTCTTGAGCAGCTAATGCAAATGCAGCCTTCACAATTTTTGTCACTTATCAAGTGAACTAAATCTGACCAATGTAAATCTAGAATCATTAATAAAATCAATTAAATCATATAATAATTGATATCCTATTTCTTTCTCAATCTTATAATCATAATATTGCAAGAGCCTTAGACTCAGTAATCACTCGTTCTAAAGAGAAAAATTTGCACATGAACCAGATCAAAAGTACTACAAACTTGAGAGCCAGAAAGACGCTCGTAAAAGGATGCACATTAGCGCCCTTTTGGCTCTTATGACAAAGTAATGAGTACCATGAATTTGCAAACAAAACATGACTCCATGTTGAAAGTACTGAGCACATATGCACATAGAGATTTGACCAAATTGGTTGGCATACAAATATAACAAAATTTCTACTTTTAATTCCTACTTCCCTTGCTTTTGATGTTCTTCTAAGGCAGGGCTAGTTTTGTGGAATATTTTTAGTCCGATTCACTACCTCCTAGTAGATGGTTTCCTGCCTCTGCGCTGTTGCCTAGGAGTTTGACCTCGTGTTCCTCGGGACCGTTGCTCATCTGTGAGTAGCGGACCGACGAGAAGCCGCAGATTTTGAGGACCAGCTTCGTGACACCGTAGACGAAGAAGAGCACGAGCATGTCGACGAGAATGTGCCACGTGAACATGACCGTAGTGAACATGACATTGAGATGATCTTCTTTATCCCAGGGCACTCCTCCGGGTGGTATAAAGAGAACGATCCCAATGTGCCAGAACCACGTACCCTGCACCAGCGTGAACAGGATCCTGACGAGCAGCACCAATGTATCCCCCGACCGCCACACCTCTCCAGCTGTCGCCAAAAAGCACACAAAGATGGCCATCACGAGCATCGTATGGAGCTGAATATCTAGATCGCTCCTGCCGTGCGTGTGGAAATAAAACAGGAAACCCTCAACGGCAAACGCCAGAGCACCAAACGCTTTCTCGTATTTCCCGGCAACAGACGGCAAACAGCTACTCCCCATAACTTTGACGGCGCCGTAAAGCCCAAAATATGTGTACATGGTGACGTGTTGCCATTCTACTTGATGCTTCCAATGTCCCTCGCTGTCGATGATAGTCCATTTTGGGGCTGGGTACATCATCTCACCAATGAAACCGACAGCCCCACCAAACACTATAAACGCCCCTTCCATGGGTACGCGGTGTAGACAGTACATCAGGCGAGACCGCGGCCGCTGGCGTCCGTTATCCAGGACGATCTTCGTGTACACGTACTGCATCATCCACCAGATGGACATGAGGATGAAAAACGCTCCCGGTAATGCATGACCAATAAACGTACCCATCTTGCCTTCTTTATCTCGTCCTCCTCCCAGCAACGGATCGATTTATCAAAAAATATGCGGTGGATATTGGAAATAAGACGAGAGATTGTTATAGATTCGCCCTCAGAACTGGTAGTGATACAGCATTTCTGGCTGAAGCTGCGCCGGGATATCGTAACGCCTACCGGTACCGTATACCAATGTGGAACGAATGGGTACAATACTATAAGACAGGTGCACGTAGCACACGTCCACACACACACACACACACACACACACCCTTTCGTAGTACAGTGAGTAGATGCGATTCGCTAACAAGATCTTGGCTGCTCATCCCTGGCGCTCGACGCATTTTTATTGGAGCGGTATACATCGCCTCGGCGGACAATGTGAAAAGGATACTTTTTTATAAATCTGATTAGGCGCTTGGAATTCGGATATGTTATGAAGTCGTTATTGTAAAGATGAATTATCCTTCGGGCTATTCTTATTATACCAGTAGGCCTATAATAGTACATGCAGGGATATGTGAGTTTAAACTCACATATCCCTGGTACATGTATGTCTGAATTGAGCGGGGCCGGAGAAGGGGGAGGGGTAATTTATAAATTTATTGTTGCGGTGGAGGCTTCTCAAAACGGCGCCCACGGAGATAACCGGGCATGATTTTAGCAACGACGTCTTTAGAGAAAAAATATTTAAAAAACAATTACATGAAGATATAGTCAGAGGCATATTATGAAATTCGTGTAGAAAGTCATTTCAACATTTTATCAGAATCGCACTTTTCAAGACTTTCGTTTATTCGTTCATTAGGTGTTAATTGCCGCTGAAAAGTGTTTGAATCTTTAGTTTAAATAAGATATGTACGTAGGCCTGGTTTTGACTATAGCTCGAAGGCATGTTGATTTCATACAAAAGTTTTGTGAGAAATTAGATTTTTCTTTTGACATTTTAGAAGGAAAATAGTTGACATGAATTTCTTTTTTATTTCGGAGAACCTGAAGCGATGGCTTATACCCGTGTACGGTCCATGCACCCCCCCCCCCAGTAAAGTAATATAACCTTTATCGCTACCAAGCCACTCCATCGTTACTGGCCTATCATTATATTCAAGAGCATGGGAATAATATAGGTAGAACAAAAAATACATCAATTAAAAATAAATAAAAATAAAACTACCAAAAAAAAACTTTAACGGCCAAATATATTGCTGATCTTTAGAAAGTGAAAGTAATTTTGCAGCCGAAGGGGATAGGCTTGATGACGAACGAGGTAAAATATATGAATATAAATTATTTGATACTGAAAGTGAAAATAAAATCACCTCTGGTTATTGGTCATCGGGGTATATAGCCTATTATATTTCATAAAGAATGAATTAATAAATGAGCGAATGAGCGAATGAATGAATGCATGATGAATAAATGAATGTAAAAAACTCAATATGATTAATTGAATGAATAAATGGTTGAGTGATTGAGTGAATGAATGAATGAATGGTTGAGTGAGTGAATGAATGAATGAATGAATGAGTGAGTGAATGAATGAATGAGTGAGTGAATGAATGAATGAATAAATGATTGAGTGAGTGAGTGACTGAATGAATGAATAAATGATTGAGTGAGTGAATGAATAAATGATTGAGTGAGTGAATGAATGAATGAATGTATGATTGAGTGAGTGAATGAATGAATGATTGAGTGAGTGAATGAATGATCGATGAATGAATGAATGAATGAATTTGAAAAATATAATTGTGAAACATATTTATAAGCCCATGAAAGACCACGAAATCGCAGAGATGAATGAAATGTGGCTATAATTGAAACTAAATGTGATGTAATGAAAGGCTCTTTGATAAATATAAACAAACAAATAATGTGTTATATTATAATGAGGATGATGAAAATGATAATAACAAGAACACTATATGCTACATATAGATGTAGCCACAACGGTATGAATATTGTTCTCTCTGAGTGTTCTGAAATCATATTATAACACCGGCCTTAGCCCGGCTACCCCGTTATAGGCCGACAAAAAAAAATACTTACACGAAGAAAGATGTATATTGCTCTTGGGATTGCTCTACATAATGTTTCATCAGCATCCTCTCTTAACTCCTTTACAGTGAGTTTCTCTTCAAAATCTAAGGACAGTGAATTCCATACTGTATATTACTGTAGAACCATCAAATGAAATTTACTTTTTACTCATTCTCAGTTTTACTTTAGGCGTAACTAAATATTTAAACTGTTCTACTGTTTTGTTGTATTGCCCCGACCACGGAGAAATGCCGGAGCCGAAGGAAGGTGTGTGATTTGGTCCTCCCCCCCCCCCCAAGATTTGGAAAAGGGAGGGGTAAAGCATCAAATGCCCCATGACTTTCGTCTTTAATGGTGAAACAAGTACTCAAAATTACAGGACTTACCCCAAACTACGACGGCCTTTACTCTACTTTCTTTTTGAAAATTGTTATTCATCATTGTGTTTGCTTGTCAGATAATTTTGCATAAAATGGCACCCCGTTTTTGTATTGTTTATTTGAAATCATCATCACCATCATCAACACCACCACCACCATCACCACCACCACCATCATCATCTTCACCACCACCACCACCACCATCATCACCACCACCACCACCACCATCTTCACCACCACCACCACCATCATCTTCACCACCCCCACCATCTTCATCACCACCTTCACTCGCGCGTGTGTGTGTGTGTGTGTTTGATTGGGTTTTTACAGATGTGTATCAATCAGATATGATTATTTACGTCTGGGGACCGACTTTTAACAGTGTTAACGTCACCATCCGTAAGACGCGACTCAGTTTCGAAGCTGCGTCCTCGGCTGAATCAGTTTGTAACTTCCATTGTTAGCTGGATTACAGGCGCACGCCACAACGCCTAAATTTCTTCTTATCTTTTGTGAAAATTTTTGCTTGCTCAATGCGATTGCAAATAATGTGACTCTGCCTTTCACATTACGGTAAAAGATAAAAAAGAAACAAAATTCAACAGCCACATTTTAAATTTCTCCAATGGATGTAACTTGGCCAAGAGAGATTTACGACTCAGAATTATAAAAGGAAGAAAATGTCATCTGCAATTTGTCAAAAATTTATGGGAAAAGCACCTAGAAAAAGAAGAAAATTGGACAACCAGATATATCATGCATTTACTCAGGAATGTCTATGCAAGGGTCACACTGTAAGATCCGACATGCAAGTCTTTGTAAAATTGTATTTTAAACAAGAAAAATATGAAATTTATTCAATTTGACAGATCTTTTCTCGAGTCAAATTTGGGCAGTATATGTCATTTGAATGATATGACACTAAAGGTGTAATCCAGGATCATGGTAGAATTTAAGTTACAATATAGGGCGCCCTACTCATACTTCTAAAAAATCTCAAATTTAAAGACATAATCAAGAACAAAACACACTGAAAATAGATTGTTATTTTACTGTTTAATATATTTCATCATGTACTCAATCTTAATATTCAGCAATTATATATTAAGACGGAAAATATACACTTTACAGGTCCTAAATAGATCTCTATAATGGAATCACTTTATACAGATTGAGGTACATTTCTAAGGAAAGCACAAACTCCATTATTGGTCCAAAAGTCATCTGAGTTCTAATACAGATAGAAAATAATTTGTGAGTTTTCTTGTTCTTTGCATGTCAGTTTATGAGAATGTCACAGTTGTGGAAATTTCTCTTGAAAAGGATCCCTCTCAAACGGCCCTTTTACTTGAAATATGAAAAGAAATAACTGAAAAGTTTAATTCAAAAATTTATGAGTAGTTCCATAAACCCATATAATTTGTGAACTTTCTCATTCTCTGCATGTTAGATTGGAACAATGCCAAAGTTGTCAAAATTTCTCTTAAAAAGGATCCTTCTCAAAGATCTTTTTTTTCTCACAATGTAAGGGAAGGGAGCCTATCAATATAGAATGACTTAGAAGTTGTATATGCATGTACAACAAACATTTCTGGTTATAGCAAATGCTACTGACATTAAAATGTTGTGTTTAGGGACCCCCTACTGCATTAGCACACAATCGCTGCAATTGCTGTGGAGGAACTAAATTAGAGAAATGTAAAACTACATTAAAACAAGTGATCCATTCACTTAAACATCACAATGTCTATTGAAGATTTAGACATATATAAGTACAGTATTTTAAGTATTTAAAGTGAATCGGTAACATTGTTGAAGGTTGATGAAAAAAAATTGCTAAATTTTTGTATAAAATGTTACTTACTATATTCCTTCTACTATACTAACCCTCTGACATGCAAAAAATCCTGAACAAATTCTCAAACCACAAAGATATCTATGGTTTTCTTTGAAGGCGTCGATGTGAGGCACCCTCTAACAGTGATTAACAATAAATTCTCCCAACCATTTTTTGAATTTTCCCAACCGTTTTTCCATGACAAAAATACATAAAACAGGCTATAAAAATCTGTCAACACTTAACTGTCTGGAATGGAATGTAGAGCCATTTTATTGCTTTGTGACGATTTACATTCACCTAAAATGTAATTAAATTGTCCTTGTCTTGATGCTGAACAGGCTTTGACAAGTAGCAGAATAGAAGTAGAATAATATAGTTGGGAGAATTAAGGAATCGATCAGGTCAGTTTTTACCAATTTGTACCATGAATAATGATCCGTTTTCACTCAAATTTTCAGATTATCTTTAATTGTACATCTAGCATTGAAGTCACTACCTTAGCACCACTATCTCTCATCTGAACAATGTTACAAAGTCCCTTTAAGGAATGGCAAAGTGAATTTTCATCATAATGCTGACATTGATTGCGAGAAGCATAAAATAAAAGCTGAGTAAATGTGCATGCTCAACTTCTGATTTCTGGAATGCATGCCATATTAATTAATGCTTTTCATACAATTCTTAATATTCAATGACATAATTATACAAAAGAGAAAATGTTGAGAATGCAGACATCATACAAACCAATACGATAGAAGTTGATTAAAAAAAAGAAAGGATGTCTAATGAAATACAGTGGAACCTCTTTAAACAAAAGACCATTTGGCCCAAGAAAATGTTTCTCTTTCATTGAAATATTGATATAGCAGGCCTCAACAAAGAACTGGGATCAGCAACATGATTTTGCAAAAATGAGGCTTTGTTAAAACAATTTCCTTAGAACCAGGTTTCACTCTCATGAATGATAGACAGAAAAATTAATTTGCTTGGAAAATTAAAAAAAAAAAAAAAAAATCTTCTGACTTTTGACTTGCTTGAAGACAAGAGAGGGAATGATGAAGTCGCACATAGGGTCTAGTCTCAGCAAAACATATCCCCGAAAGAAGTAGAACTTCTAAACTTCTAATATTGCTGTAATTTGTTCTGGATAACAAAAGACATTTGTCTTCTTATTACTGTGTAATACTTTTAATATTTATCTTATTCTAAACACAAGCACACTTCTTCAAAATGCTGTGGTGCAAAAAATGATCTGAAAGTAGCACATCAGAACCCTGCAAATCATTCAATAACCCTGGTATAAACAGAACAAAAACAAGGAAAATGGAAAAACTCTTCTAGTGAGTATCCTGTGAACAAAAATCCTTGTCATGATTTTTCTATTTCAGTTTCTATTTCAAATCCATATACGGTACTGTACATATCTTCTATACATGTTACTCTGCATATTCCAACCAAATAAATTACACTTAAAGCCCCACGGCATTACTTATAGCTACCTGCGCCCTCTATAAAGCAAACAATGCCTAATCAGTGATCATTGATTCCCCATGGTCCCCTTTTTCTTATGTTAATTGAGAGCTGATTTGATGAGATAACCACCTGTCAGTGACCATGCAGGGAGGTCTAGTCCCTCCTAGCCAAACTAGTGCAGAGGGGCTTTAAGCCACGTTCAGATATGTGGCAAAACCACAGCGGATTTTAATGACGCGAAGTGCAATAGGCATCACATTTCTGTATCTTACAACACAGAGCTCAGTGAATATGCCCAGGAACTTTGTTGCACCCAGGCAGTTGCCATTCATTAACACGTTTAAAAAATGTGGCAGCTGTTTTGCGGTGGTTTACTGCATCATATCTGAACGAACCTTCAGAATACTCTCTGAAGAATATGGCATTGGGTTTCAGAGCTGCATGAATGGTAATAGTAAGATAGTAATAACAAAAATTATAGAATAAACCTAATGAGATATGATGGGAATGAACAATTTATAAAACAATAAACATTCATGGAAGCCAGATAGCTGGAAAAAAATGATGCTGAGGCAAATACAAACTGAATTTGGAAGAAATCAAATGGAATATGGAATGAAAACGAATATGAAAGCAGCAAAATGTTTGCATTTTGTAAGTACATCTGAATTTACGGAAAGCCAAAGGGGAGGGGGTGCAATATACAAGGAGGTACATGTCTGACATTCAACTCAAATATCAATTCTTTTTCTATAATCATGAATATACATATTATATCTTTCTTGCTTTACATTGAACAATGATGTATGGAATGGGATCACCTTTTAATATCACTTTAGCTTCCCTAAAAAAAAAGACAACATTTCTTTTGTACAATTTAAAGGAATGTAGCGGTAAAATTATCATTAACTGCTGTGACATTAAAAAAAAAACATATTTTTGATCAGAAGCTCTTATTTGACTACATTCTTTTTACTTTTACTTCAAATTACAATTTGTAAAATGAAGTGCATACATGGTAACAAAGTGTTACACTGATATATGTTTAATCACACAGATAATACTGATTCAATTGATTTGCAGTTGATTATGTTCATGTTACAAGGCCCAGTATAAAAATAATGTGATAGGTTGAATAAGGAATGTTATCCTTATTCATGTTGTTTATTTTTCTACAATGGCATATTTTCACTAAAGTAACAAACTGTCTTTTGGAATTGACTGGAAGATCGCTGCATGACTGGCATCAAGCTTACAATGGAACAAAAGGAAGATTTGATTATGAAAAGAGAGAGAAAGAAAATTGTTGAGAGAGAGAGAGAGAGAGAGGAGAGCATCAACTCTATGTCAAATGATATGAGTTAATCCCTTTTGCCTCTCGGCAGAAAAATTACTAACAAATAAATATTTCATACATTTTTAGAAAGAAATGATGTAAGAAAACCAACGATACAAAATTACGGTACGAAATAGATAAGGACAAACAGAAAAGTTGATAGTATATGTAAGCGTCATACAGGGAAAAAGAAGATATAAAACAATCATAAAATGAAGATAAATTATCATCGAATAAAGATAACTCATGATCTAGATAAACTCATAAATAATATATGCCATTAATATACAGTGTCTATGATTTCAAAAATAAATATATATGAAAATCTTTCTACAAAATTTTGATCTCAAAGTGTGCTAGAAGAGAATATAAAAGTGAATGATTCTTCAAATATTCAAAGATTTTAGTGTGTTGTAAGTTACTTATTGCTGAGTACATTTGTATGACTACATAATAATGATATATGTAGCTGTAGGTTCTGAAAATCTTTTGGAATATATTGATCAGAAAAGGAGAGGAGAGGTAAGGAGAGGATAGGGCAAACATAAGGTATTTATGAAGCACCTTCATCACTTTGGTTGTGGTTTATTCTAAAATGCACAAAGTGGGACATCTCTATGTGTGAGAGGTCAGGGGGTGTTTTACAAAGACTAAGATCGACCTAAGTTGGACTTGAACTATGGCAGGCGATTTATGCCCTTAAAAAGTCTTGAACCAGATGTAAAATTAGTGGAAAAAAACCTTAGAAATTATGATCTATAGATACTGTTTTTTCCTTCAACAATAAATTATCAAAAAATGTGAATTCAGTAGATTTGTGATGTCCCTTGAGAGACCAAGGGTGAGAGCAACCAGTGGCATGAATGGCCCGCCATAGTTAAGTCCAACTTTTAGTCTTTGTGAAACACGTCCTGTTGATAAACATGTATGGGGTGATTTGTACCGTGTGCTACCTAGGAACTGTCTTATTCACACAGTGACACCCAATGAGGTTTACTTCTTTTGTAATAACTGGAATAACTCATACTGTTGTTTCTTTCTGAAGGACGGTCTTATCGAATGGGAAGAGAGGTGGTGACTGAGTTGATGATGATATCGCTGACGATGTCGAGGGGGACGATGACGAGGGGGATGATTCTGCTGCAGGTAAGACCACCGGTCTCTTCCAAGGAAGCAGGGGAGAGGATGATAAGGACGACGTTGATGAGGATGACGATGTGCTGGGTGCCGCTGCCATGCTCTGCGATCTCATCTTTCGTCGACTGCGCAGGTTGTCTGACGGAGGTCCTTGGAAGACATTCTCATCATTGAACTCTTCTCTCTCTGGCGATACTGTTTACAAAAAAAAGTTAAAGGCATCGTTTAACAATGTTAAATCCGAGATGCATGGCCCTACGTGTTATCAGTGTCTGTGATATGGTGAAATATTGTGCTTCAAAATGATCATGAAGTGCCTCAAAAAAGTAAATCATTTTGAGTGACCGGTTTTACCATACTCATTTTACCCAATACACTGTAGTGTTATAAAATCCGTTAGGAAAATGCAAAATTTAATTTCGATTTTCCAAGCATAAATATCTTGATAATCAGATACGCAATTGACTGACTTAAAGGTTTATAATTATGATTGCAGCATGAGCTAAATCCAGGATTTTGTTTCAGAATCTGAGGCAATGTTACCGAGTCACTTTAACATATACTAATAAACAATCGTAATTATTCTAGCTTAGATTTGTATCAGTGATCACAAAAATTCAAATGTTTATGGCATTTTCAAATTACATACAGAAGTATTTCTTTTTCACATATGGTAAAGCTAATACAAGTTCTTAGCATTTCAATCATTTACATATTCTCCCAAATGAGGGTTAAAAAATGACCCGTTAAATTCTACATCTGAGAAAAGTGTTTCGTATTTGCCGGCGATAAGGCCGCAGTATTTTTGGAAGAAAAAATATCAAAAAATCGGGGTGCGGCCTTTCGCTACAACAACAAAATTCAGCGGTCAAAACAGCATGTTCATTTGAACATATGGGACTACCATGACTATACAATAGTACAGGACAATTCTAGAATAACTCCACACAACTTGCCAACAATTTTATGTTACATTGTTGACATAAAGATGAAAATAAAGAGTATAACTTATTTTTCAAATAAAATCTGCTGGTAGATCTAGATCTAAGTCCGTACCATTGCATCGCCAAAAAGTAAAAGAAGGGACATACCGTTACTTACGGAGTATACCAAATCTGCGTGTGATACAGTACTAGCTTAAAAATCGATGAATATCTGTTAAAGTACGATCTGCTAAATTACAATCATTTTTGAGGTAAACTTCTTGTAAATTTATAAGAATATTGATGAATTTGGTATCAGTTTGTAGAAAAAAATAGTGTTCTACAAGAAAATTACGATTATTTTGTTTGGTCCGTTTGTTGTTGTTTTGTTTTTTTCTTCCTCTACGAAATGTCAAAGTTGGGGGTGCGGCCTATGCGGCGCTGCGGCTTTATCGCCGGCAAATACGGTAATCAACTTTTTCACATATAATACCTACATGTATGGTTGAAAAAACTAGCCAACTAATTAAGAGATACTAAGATCAACTTTAAGTTGGACTTAACTATGGCAGGCCATTCATGCCACTGGTTGCTCTCATCATTATGATCTTCAGACAGTTTTTTTCCTTCAATAATGAATCATCTAAAAATGTAAATTCTGTAAATTTGTGAGCATGATTTGGTAGTCCCTTGAGAGACCAATGCCAGAAATTGGTAAGAGCAAACAGTGGCATGAACAGCCTGCCAAAGTTAAGTCCAACTTTAAGTTGTTTTTAGTTTTGTGAAACAACCCCACCAGTTAGGGTAAATCCTAAACTTACCTAAAGAACATTCATCATAGAGGGAGCCCTTTCTCTCTGCTAGCACCAGATCAGATCTGCCAGGGAAGGGGGAGTAGATCTTCATCTTCTGGTGACAACAATCCGACCAAGTTTCTGCAGAGAAGAAGAGGAAATATTCAACAAGTCAAAGCACACGTCATGCAACACATGACAGTTAAGGAGGTGCAAAATATCTTCAAAAATATACTGTGAACTGATACCCCATTCATGATATATTTTGATGACTCACCAGTATTGCCTTGCTAGTTGCTACTAATAATTTAATGAACTACCATGGTACCAAGTTTTTAGTTCTTTGGTTATTTGGCCTCAATGACATTATTGTATACTTATCCAATCAGCCAATTCCATTACACTTTCAACTTTGTTAAAGACACATAGAAAGGGCTTTCATGGGGAATTCGACACCCAATAACAGGTGTTGCCAATCACCAGGATTAGCCTACAGTTATATGACCAACAAGCCTTATGTAATGCCGTGTCTTTTCCCAATATTTCTGACATTTACATCACCTGAAGACTCTCTGGGAGACGAGGGAGTTATTTTGTATTGGCCTACGGGTTTGCTGTGTGCAGATTTGTACTCCTATTAATGGTATTTCCACCAAGTCTGGTGTCAGCGAATTATGACCTTCTGCACATGGAAACTCACGACCATCTCCCTTTTATTCATTACCAATTGATAAAACATTAAAAGAAGGCACATCAAACATCTATAAGATGGATATGAGCATTGGTCCTTTACGAGTCATACTTACTTTAAACAAGCAAGATAAGGTTCCATACAGTTTGGAACAAGTCATGAATTTAAAATACCCTGAATCTGTAAGAAACTGTAAGAAGTTCCTGCTTTTACTAAGAACTCTTCCATTCCGGAAAAGATTTCCCTATTATGAGAACACTTTGAACAAAACAGAACCAAAATACTTTCCCATTCCTGAAATGACTTACCAATGTTGATTAATTGCTGCTCAAACCCTTTCAGCCACATTTCCAGTTCCTCTTCTGATTCTGCCGTGAATGGACGTTTTCTGTCAGGATCGTCACCGCAACCGCCGATCACAAACGACAGTGGGTCTGTGCAGCACGTTGATCGGACCGCTGAAGAGTTCTGAAGTAGAACAACAACAAGGTCTCTATCTTTAATTTTATTAGAGGTTACAGTGTCTGGGCTTACCAGTGATATTGTTAAAATTCTTATTTCTTTAGTATGCTTTCAGAATGAGAACAAGGTTTGATTTGGGATTCACTCACTCTACAAAATATCACAAATACTGTCCTAGTAATTAACTCTTATCGTGCCACAGGGCTAATCCCCGTTGTGCCAGGTTGTTTTGGAGATAATCTGATTAACGCGATGGTTCTATGAATGGCGAGTGCAAAACACACAGCACAGCCCAATGAGCATGAACAATAACTGCTATTACGAATGCGCCCTTGCACGCACATGGCACTCAATAGGTAGCGTGCATGCAGCCTCATGGCAGGCTATGAGTTAATGTGATAAATAAAACTATACAGGTTATTTGGACAAGAAAAACAAAATTGAAAATACCATAACCAATTCTTCCTATAAAAGCATACAAACATGTATGTAAAGAGAAGTAACTGATACCAACACAGTTGACGATTTACTCAACTGACCTGAATGTTCTGACCTTCCTTTGCTTATTTCTTAGCTTTTTACTTTTCCTATCAAACCGCTCCGCAAAAATAATTTATTTATTGTCTATGAAATTTAGTTGGAATCTCCCGTTTATTGAAGTCTAAGTTTTTTTGTCATTACAAGAACTCAAAATTGCCTTTAAAAGTTAATAATGAATTCAATTCATCAGGAAGAGAAACAGAATTTTATCTTCAGAGATTACATACCTTTCTGAGTTGTAGAGTCATGGATGGTTCACCTAGATTTCCTTCTGTAGGATCATCCCAGCAAATTAGATGAGAGCCTTGTAATCTACACCAAAGTCTGTTTGATACTGGTTTACCTTGGAACTCATCCTGTAATAAGAGAAGTAAATCAACGACGTGATAATTTAATAGATTAATGCATTCTTAATATAAATTTGGCAACACTTAAAGGGAAAGTCCACCCCCAAAATAAGTTTGTTTCGATAGAGGCAGAATAATAAGAAAATCAGGTGAGTGAAAGTTTGAGCAAATTCTGAATGAAAATAAGAAAGTTATGAATTATTGAAGTTGTGATCAATCAAATACAAATTGGCAACTCTGTGACTTATTATACGAGCTCTCCTTCATTTGCTTTGTGCATAATATTCCATAAAATCATGTTTTCTTCGTTATTGATGACGGAATATATATTTGTTCCTTGCAGGGGGAGTATAGAAACATATTTGCAATTATTATATTTAGGGTGCATGTATGGTTGAAATTTTTCTTGAGGGAAAATGAAAATTTTAGATTTTTTTAGTACTGAGCAAATGGAAGTTGAGCTCGCATGATACGTCATAGAGTTGCCAATTTGTGTTTGATTGATCACAACTTCAAAAATCCTAACTTCCTTATTTTTAATCGGAATTTGCTCAAACTTTCACTGACTTGTTTCTCTCATTTTTCTACTCCTATTAAAACTAACTTAATTTCAGGGTGGACTTCCCCTTTCAGCTTCAGTGTTTTCTTTAGGTTCTATTAGTAGGATAATTCTAGTATGCAAGATGAGAGCCTTGTAATCTACACCAAAGTTTGTATGTTTATCTTGAAACTCATCCTGAAGTATATCAACGACAGGATAATTTAATAGATTAATCCATTCTTAATATTAAATTGTGTTTTCTTTAGGTCCTATTTGTAGGATCATTCTAGTATGCAAGATGAGAGCCTTGTAATCTATACCAAAGTCTGTTTGACATTTGTTTACCTTGAAACTCATCCTGTAATGAGAGAAGTACATCAACGATAGGATAATTTAATAGATTAATGCATTCTTAATATAAAATTGGCAACACTTCAGTGTTTTCTTTAGGTCCTATTTGTAGGATCATTCTAGTATGCAAGATGAGAGCCTTGTAATCTACACCAAAGTCTGTAGATAAATGTTTACCTTGGAACTTATCTTGTAACAAAAGAAATACATTTACAGATAAGATTGAGCCAGAATGGACAATTGAATCAAGAGGGTTGAATGAACGAGCTATTTCTCTATCTCTAGGCTCATCCAAGATTGTGAAATGATGTTCATTTGACAAAACAAGCAATGTATGGATGGTAAAAGTAAAAGGGATTTACAAAACTACAATTTTTCTTACTTTTTTGTAAAATTACTAGGGTAGAAAACGACCCCATAAAGTTTACAAATGAAGTATTTCTTTTGGTTTAATTATCAGTGTCACTGAATGACACAGATACATATCTTTGGTCAAAGATGAGTTGCTTAACACGTTAGATACTAAACCTGAAATTTACTCTAGCTGGCATTTATGGAAAAAAGTGTGTCACCAAAATAAAACTGTATCTAGCAGGGTAGTAGCATCAGTCACACAATAATCTTCTTAATCTGAGCTTGCAATCCAGTGATAAGGTTCTTTTCACATCAGGAAATCTACTTTTAAGGGGGGTGTAGCATGGCAAATACTGGTTAACGCCATCTACGATAACTTTTGGACAACTGAAGGTAAACGTATGGACTTGATTAAAAACGTCTGCTTGCACCAGCGGTTTCGCTTATGTTGCACACACGTGAATACTGCGGTCGCGTCGTCCATAGTCGTATTATACCTGATTGGACCCGAGTCAGGCTACAGGAAAGACACATAGTCTCGTCACGCTACACCCCCTTTAAAAGCAACTGTTGCAGAGTCTCTTACCTGACTGGAAAGGTACCCCGACATGCTCTCCTCTACCGTGCACAGTGGTTGAGCAGCCAGACGACAACAGATATTACCAAACAACTGGAGCTGATGTGCTGTGTTATCATCTACAAAACAGAAAAAAAAACCATTGTATAAAAGTGTTTTGTGTAAGTCATCAAGTTGTGCATAGTGAGTAGTTGCCATTTACATGAGATAAAGATATCCAGAAGTAGCTGTGCAACTAAATTCTCTTTCTTGTGTATCTGAATAATTACAATCCCCCCCCCCCCAAAAAAAATAAAATATATATATATATATATATATACACCTTTCAGGAACAATTACTCTGCATTCAATTTCAAACACAACTAGAACATCTAACTTCAACCCTGGACCATATACAATAGCTTACCCTAACACTGACATTAAACCTAACCATTACCTTAAACCCAACGCCACCTAATGACAGACTAATCCTGGTTCCTCTCTATTTGGTGAAACAATTTGACTGTACTTTTAACGTCCTTTGGAAATAAGTCAATCTACATTTGCTACTCTCCACCCAGGTATTAAATGGGTACCCGGTAGGATGCAAAAAATGAATGTAGTTTGCTCAGCATTGTGAGCATCTGTAAAATGACGCTAGAATGCTCCCAAGGGAGTGAAGAATGTGCATACATTGTGTGCCAGCATATCTGTACAGCGCTGAGAGACATCGTTATAAAATATGGTATTGTAGAAAGCGGAATATTATCATTACTTACCGTTCTCTGTGTTGAGATCAAATGTCTGAACTTGATCACTAACTTGCTGTAACCTCAGTCTAGCTCTGGCTACTAAGCTGTACCTAGGCCCTTCATTCTGCTCCTCTTCAGTGGACTGTAAGATCAAATAATATTTAGATTTCAATGCAATGGCTTAGTGGTAGAGCAGTGGTCTCGTAACCGGTAGGTCCCGGGTTCATACCAAGTAGATGTGCTAGTGCCCTTTGGTAAGGCATTAATCGTCATTACCAAGTCACTCGGAGAGGACTTAAAGCTGTCGGTCCCATGACCTGCACATCTCCAGTCAAGCAACCAAACCACTTGACCAGGGGGTGTTTTACAAGACTAAGATTGACTTTAAGTTGGATTTAACTATGGCAGGCTATTAATGCCACTGGTTGCTCTCTCTATCAAAAAATGTAAATTCTGTAGATTTGTGACCACAATTAATATGTCCTTTGAAAAACCCAATGCCAGGAATGTTTAGAGGAACTAGTGGCATGAACAGCCTGCCATAGTTTTTTGTGAAACACCCCCCAGGTCACATCTAGATCAAAAGTACTGTCTTGTTGACAAATCTGCAGAATGCCCTAGCTAACAAGTAACCCTAACCTTAACCCTGACTCTGACCCTAATCGTACCTCTAACTCTGACCCAAGGGCTTGCAACTAATCCTAATCCTCACTCCAAACTCTGACCTTGACCATACAACATAGTACTGATGGCATTGTTGAATATTTTGTTGCTAAGATGTGCCCCTCCCCCCCCCCCCCCCCCCAATCTATCTTCACAGACCAAAGATTTTAAGTTGAACTTATCTCTTGAGTTAACAATTATGGAAAGCCGTTGGCATCTATGAAAATATTTTGTGAGAGTTATTTTAAAAGGCATAAAATGTGGATTCAATTCCTTAATATTTTCTATTACCAACAGGGTTTTCATGTTCTTGATCTGGAATTTATAAAAAAAAATAAAAAAATACTTGAACTTTTGCTTTTGAATATACTTTATTTTAAAGCTACAAATGGCTCTCCATAATGTTTAAGTTCAACTTAGAGATAAGTTTAACTTATGATCTTTGTGAAACACCCCCCTGCACCCATACTTACCCCACTGGTTGAGTTGACCTGTGTTTTGTGCCCTAGACTGCCGCGCCGACCCACTGACGCAGAGAGGGCGCTCAACTTGCGTCTGATCTTCTGTGGTGTGCTTGCTATCGTCATGTCGTTATGAAGGTTGTATGAATAGACTTCTAGGATACAGGTGAAATCTGGCTTCACGTTGTCACTGCAAAACATCATCAAACATGGCAGTCCAATTTATTTATTTGTCAATAAAAAGAAACAGGAAAATTTAACATTGGATTTTAACAAGTATGAGATTTGACAAGTAAATTTGATAATGCATTTCTTTACTTCATATTATTTTTAAATAGTCATAAGAAAACCAAAAACAGATAAAGTGCTCTAAAACAAAAACAAGAGACAATAAACAGTCACTGAGAAATGCTTTTCAAAAACACAAGGAAAAAAGAATCATTATTGGGTTTATTGGTTCTCTCATTAACAAAGACATTTCTTTCTTTAAATTTAACCCTTATTGCATAAATAGCTGTCTTTCCATTCAAATTTCTTTTTCCTATCTTTTTTGTTGTTAAGGGGGGGGGGGTACTTCTTTCTATGTGTTTATTTTTTCAGTTATTTTTCAGAACCTTATACATAGAACACATAAGCACCAGGAATAAGTTGATATCTTCAATATAGAATATGAATAATAAACATAAACTTACAAGACAATGACATCTTTGAAGTTGACATCTGTTGCTGTCCTGTCTATATTAGAAACCAGTTGAGTGGCATAAATTTGGGTGTCTATCTTCAGCAGGCAGAAGACTGCATACCTGTGATGATCTGCAGGAAAATAAGCGATTAAAATGTGAGATGATGAAAAGCTATCAAGCATGTATCCATTTTGTTTTGTTTTTATGATCAGCACTCTTAACTAGGCTTTACAAAAGGAAATCCACAGTGGAATGGACCAAAGTTTTTTACAGAGATTAACAGAGAGAAAGTATCATAGATTTAAAGAAATAATTTTAAAAAAGGTATTAAATAAGAGATAGGGAGAGAATAAAGGAAAAGGGAAGGGTATAGAGTATAGAGATTAAAGAGAAAGACAAAAAGAAGGAGAAGAGCAAAAAATAGAGACAAAAGATTGATTTTTAAAAAATATATATATTTGTTACAAAACAAAATACACTGCAGTTGTTTTGATTTTGTCTAAAATAGTTTGACTGTAAATTTCTCTCTCTCTCTTTTATTAAGAGTAAAAATAATATTGCCAGGGAACAGAAATAACTAAAAATTATATGAAGAAAGGAGGAGAATGTTCCACATCAAAAACGAGATATGGGGATGTATTAGAGCCAAAGATACATGCAGTATTTAAATAGAAAAAAAAAACACTGCAAAAGAAAGAATGAACATAGAGAAACATTAGAAACATAGATAAACATTAGAAACAGTCATAAACGAGGCAGGTGTTGGTTGGCATCGCAATAAAGCTCATTATTTAAGGATGAAACCTATCGTGCCTGAGTCACGCTCAAGCTGTGTCTGGTCAAATAACTTTGTTTACTTTCATAAATTGGAAAGAACGGTAGCATATGTCACGATTCCGTCTGCAGAGGGGCATATCCTTTATCATGGGGTGTTCCTGTTTATGCTATGGGTGCTTGGGCGGGCCAATGAAGGCTATTCTGTTATGATTTACATGTATTTTCAGCTCATCAGAGCTCGTTAGAGATGCAGTACATGCACTGGGAGTAGGGGAAGTCATTTGTCTCTTAAGAGAAAGTAAAATACACAAACGTGTCAGAATGATATATGATGAGGATGGGGAGGGGCCATCTCCGTTTTGCTGGGTATCTGTCTTGTTTGAAGGGCTTTCTTGTTTGTTTTGTTTTTTTCTCTCTCTCTTTTATAAAAAGTAAAAAAACAGATTGCTGGGGAACAGAACTAAATAAGAATCATATGAAGAAAGGAGGAGAATGTTTGGCATTGAAAACAAGATATGGGAATGTATTTTGAATCATTTATATCCATACACCTCTAGAAACTAATGTAAAACAGGCTCTCTCAGAACACATTTTCTACCTAACATTTATATACTCAAATCTAAGAATAAAAAACCCATCAAGCTAGCTAGGGTCTGTGACATTATACACACCTACTAATTGCTGAAATGTAGTTGAAATACGGCTCATATCATTTTGAGGAATTTGATCTTTTTTAATCAAACAAATGTATTCATATGTGATACTATGCAATGTTCAACCACATTACATTTCACTGGATGTCAAAAAGCATTCCATCGACACAATCAAGGGTAAACAAACGTCAATGGGCAACATTAACTAAGCAAACACAAATCGTGGGTGCGTGTAAGGCAGGCATTCATGTAGCTGTCAGATTTGAATCGGTATTACACACAAAGGAAGCGATCCTTAGATCAATTTAGCTTTACCTTATCCACCTGTCCTCGCGTTCATGCTTGAGAATTGCCAATGGTGTAGGGAGAAGTTACCCATGATTTTCCCTAATTAAGGCGAAAGCGTGTGAAATGTCACATTGTCTGTCTGGCATATTTAAAGGGAGTGTTCAGCAGCTGCAGTTATATACTCATTAAAAAAGGAGAAGTTTGCAAGCTTTCATGCTTTAGAATTGCTAATGGTTCTGGTGGTGTTAGGAAAAGGTATCCATCATTTTTCTAATCAAGGAGATAGGGTGTGAAATGTCACATTGCCTGTCTGGCATATTTAAAGGGACCGTTCAGCAGCTGCAGTTATAAACTCATTATAAAAAAATTGCAAGCTTCCATGCTTGAAAATTGCCAATGGTTCTAATAGTGTGATTGGTACCCATCATTTTTTCTAATTAAGGAGATAGGGTGTGAAATGTCACATTGTTTGCCTGTCTGGCATATTTAAAGGGACTGTTCAGCAGCTGCACTTATAAACTCATTAACAAAGTATGTAAGCTTTCAAGCTTTACAATTGCTAATGGTTCTGATGCTGTTAGGGGTGCTGGGAAAAGGTACCCTTTTTTTTTTTAATTTAAGGAGATGGGGTGTGAAAGGTCATATTGTCTGTCTGTCTGTCTGTCTGTCTGGTATGTATATATATATACATAAAGAATGCTCAGCAGCTGCATTGTTAGAATACATGTACATGTATAAACAATAATGTTTTGCTTTTAAAACTACCTGATAGAATATCTTAAAAGATTTATATGGAGAGGTTTTCTCTTGAAATGCCCCTGATTTAATATTTTAGTACAATATTTGTCCTCACTAGGCCTAGTACTCCCCGCTTTTTATGGTTCACAAATGTTTAAAATACTGAACAGATCTTATTGCCACTGTCACACACGCAATGCAGATTATTGAGAAACTTACAAAAGGACAAATTTCAGGAAAATAATCTTAATAAAATACAATCTTACAAATTGACAGTCCCAGTTTGAATTGAAGAGGTGTTGCTAGAGGCATTCAATATCCAAATCACATTGCACTTTATACAATAAAAAGCACTTCTTTAAACCATTGTGGTTAAATCCATTGTGGGGTACGCATGAAGCCATTACAGGGGTGAAAGAATGGGGAAGTCTTCTATGACAGGGGTACAATGAGCCTGGGCATGAATCTTCTTAAATGAGGTGTGGAAAAGATGTGGCATGTATTGTGGGGGTGGGGCCCATGAGGGGCGGGGAGGGGGGGGGGGGGGAGGGCGGCATTATGTGGCTTCTTCTTTGTGTGTGATAGCATGGTGATTATCATCAGTCATGCTAGCTGAATCACAAATTGCCTTCTTTTCCTTTTTCTTTTCTTTTGCCCATGAGAACACTTGATTCATTTCAATAGTGAAGATTTTCTTCTCAGGGCAATTTCAAGTTTTATTTCCCAGAGATGGGGAGAAGTGAGACTTTTTTTAAAAGAAATCAAATAGTTCAACTTGTTAGAGACTGCTTTATTTCAATGAACACGCATTTCCAATGAGTTTCATCCTTGACGCTTGAGCACAGTGTCATAAAAGCCAAGCTGAAGCCAGGGTAATAATATTACTGTAGGGCCCTCGGGGAGAATAGCATTAATAGTAAGTACTGATGAAGCTACCCTGGGTAACAACGACATAATACCTGCACTAGTAGATATACCTGTACATGGTATGTACATGTATGTATCTTAGTCTTTTTAGTGGGTTAACCTTACCCTCTTCTGAGCTAAATCACTGAATGGTTCAACATTTTTTTTAAACTGGAACTATATTCTAACACAAAAGAATAAAGAAATAATGAAATAAGAAATATGACAAAAGTACAAGGAAAAATCAAAGAAACAAAACAAAACAGAACCCACCAACAACCTAAAAACTATAGCACAAGACAACAAATATGGCGATTTGTAGAAATCATAGGGCCTAAAACATATCAATTCTATATTCTGTTAAACTAATGGAAAATGAAAGCACCACATATCGAGTATCTATTAGAGGAATTTAAACTAGATGGAATTTTGACTGCGCACAGTCGAAAATGATGCCTCCGCCATAGAGCAATTTAAACAAGTTTGGAGTTTAAATCTCCAGTGGTTCTTGAGATATCATGATAACAATCTCAATGTATGGAATTTCATAAGTTGACCTCTGTGACCCTTGACCTTTGACCTACGTGCTCCAAAATCTAATCAGATTGTCTTCCTATGGTGATACATGTACACACTATCATTAAGTTTGAAGTTTAAATCTCCAGTGGTTCTTGAGATATTATGATATGGTGATACATACTATCATTAAGTTTGAAGTGAAAATTCTCCAGTGGTTCTTGAGATATCGCGATAACGATCTCAATGTATGACCTTTGACCTACGTACTCCAAAATCTAATCAGATCGTCTTCCTATGGTGATAAATACTATTCCCGAGTCTTAAGTTTAAATCTTAAATGGTTCTTGAGATATTGTGATAACGGTCAAACGGGACGGACGTACGGACGTACGGACGGACAACCCGAAAACATGATGCCTCCGGCACCACCTTCGGTGGCGGAGGCATAAAAAGCAGACACTCACAGCAAGTGGCCTTAATACAAAGGAATTCCATCATACACAGCAGCAGATTTGACTCTTTACAATGTTCAGAATTATGTCTGTACAAATATGGAAATAAAAAAGAAAAAACAGAGTGGTATTTTTTTTTACCTCCTTTGTTCTTTATATGGTCCACGCCTCTCCACATGAGGGGAATTCGTAAATCTGAAATCAAAATCAAAAACAAAAATATGTAAATGAAATATTGCTATATTGCAGGATATTGTACATTTATAGTGTATAAAAATGTTGATTTTAGTTTAAATAAAAGTATGATTATTTGTTAATAAATGCAACTCTAAAATCGTTGATATAATCATAACTAGAAGGGTGATTAAAAGGAATTAATTAACAATGTTATAAACTTTATTTTCATAAGTTGTGGACTAATTTTTCAACAAGTAATTTCAAAAGTTATAAACATTGTTGTAACTTCAAAAGATCATGATTTTATCGTCCTTACAAAATATATTTAATTCTTCCAACTTTTCTTGGATGAATTGTATAAAACTGAATAATACTACACTGGCTTACAGTACATCATTAAAGGGGAAATCCATCCTGGTATTAAGTTGGTTTTAATAGAAGCAGAAAATTTAGATAAACAGGTCGGTGAAAGTCCATTTAAAAAAAGAAAGTTAGGATTTTTAAAAGTTGCAATCAATCAAACACAAACTGTCAACTCTGTGACTTATCTTCCGAGGTCCACTCCCATTTACTCTTAACTTTACATCAGAGTTAACCCTCCCTTTAATCTCTGCCTCATTATCAATCGTTGGAGTCTTTGGACTTTTATCATTTTTCTTTACTTCTCCCATCCTTACCTGAGACGCACACTGTAGCTCTACATGGCTCAATCACGTCCCCTCCTGCTTCTGCTTCTACGCCCGAATCACTGCCGGCGCTCTTGATCTTCCGCGACGCCGCCCGATCCGCAAACTCTGCCGTCTTGCGTCGCTGGAGCTCTGACATGTATGAGAGGACGCGCACGTTAGATGTGAGCAGGTTTTTCGCTGCTTCCAGGCTCTGGGCTTCCCTCTTGCAAGCCACGAGGAGCTTCCGCGTGCCCTCTCTCATCTTGATCTCAAGGTCGATCTTCTGTTGCATGTCATAGTCCTTTGGAAATAAACAAGAAATGTATGCATTTTTTTTTAAAATTGAATACCTACACAACTTTAATTTTTTTTCTTCAAACAATAATTGCATCAAAATGTAAGGCAAAAAGAAAAATGACCCCCAACATAGATAAAGGCTAAATAAAAAGGAAGACAAGAATAAAAACAGAAGTTGACAAGTTTTAATTGTCAGTAGAAAATTAAAGAACTGTGTGTACCTGTATATGGTATAGTTTCATTTTTTTTTGGCCCTAGAAATGAAAATATGTGGTGAACCTGGTGAAAAGGGCCAAAATATATTATCTACCAGTAGACTGAAAAGCTTTTTATATTGAAAGTAATCAGAGTATCTTGAATTTTACAGACTGCCCTACTGATTTACGGCATAGCAATATTTTTATGTACACCCTGTATCTATAGCAAATCAGGAAATTAAGAGAACAGATGGTTAAAAGGGAATTAGAGAGGAATCTTGAAATGTCAGAGAGAATATCTATAATGATTTTAATAAGGAAGTTTCAGAGCAACAGGAGGAAATAATGTATTAAATAAAAAAGGGAAATACAGTCTTCCTACCAAAACCACATGAATTGACCATCATTCTGTGATGCCAACCACATACATTATACATGAACATGTAGACCTTCACTCAAAGCTCAGTGTAATCTCCCAATCCACCCTGCATAATGCGACACAAGACAACCCTCGATACTGAGAAGGGTAATCAAGTTGACTCGGGCTGTGTTCATCAAACTTTTAATAACCACCATCAGGAACCACGGACACGCTGATATAAATCTGTGATTTGACTTTCATGGCACTGAGCTTCGTAAGGAGACCTTATTCTAAGCAGATTTTTATTATGGAACATACTGTACATACTGTATTTACACAGCCCTTGCTAGGTGACAGTCTGTGACATGGATTGTAATTTTTTTTAAATAACCATAGACATGAGCAATCAAAACTTGATTGCATAGCTCAGGTCACGAAGATTTTTTGCATTAACTGTAAAGTAACCTGTCATTCTGTTTTTTATATAAATTGTCTCAAATCAAGGTAATTTTACATTTTAAAGTGCACTACCCTTGGCCCTATTCACGCTAAGCAACAATTAAAACCAGTTTTAAGTTTGTGGTAAAGATCTCACACAAATCTTCCGTTCAACGCCATTATATAGTCTAAAACAAAAATAGTTCAAACTCTGCATTGTATTTATAATTGAAAATACAGTGTGCATTTAACAACCTGTGTGCTTTTGGCATCCTCCTTTAAATGTGTTTGAGGTAATGGCTGCATTCATAAAAAATTTAAGATTATTTCTTACAAAATGCACCCTTTTATGTATGCAGCTTGTGACAGTGCCCAGAGCTCTTCAAACTGACTTCAATTTGAACGAGAGATGAACAGAGAGAGAGAGAGAGAGAGAGAGAGAGAGAGATGAAGAGAGAGAGATGAAGAGAGAGAGATGAAGAGAGAGAGATGAAGAGGGAGAGATGAAGGGAGAGATGAAGAGAGAGAGAGATGAAGAGGGAGAGAGATGAAGAGAGAGAGAGATGAAGAGAGAGAGATGAAGGGAGAGAGATGAAGAGAGAGAGATGAAGAGGGAGAGATGAAGGGAGAGAGATGAAGAGAGAGAGAGAGATGAAGAGGGAGAGATGAAGAGAGAGAGAGATGAAGAGAGAGAGATGAAGAGGGAGAGAGATGAAAAGGGAGAGATGAAGAGAGAGAGAGATGAAGAGAGAGAGATGAAGAGAGAGAGAGATGAAGAGAGAGAGATGAAGAGGGAGAGATGAAGGGAGCTCAGGTCATAATCATACATCCAAGGGCACTAACATATTATTGGTTCTTGTCACATCTGGGTGGTGCCTTGAAAATTTATTTCATTTCATGCAATGCGCTACGCATTAAGGGGACTGCTTGCAACTAAAATACATCGATATTGGGTTGACTCTCTTGCAATCGCTTGATTCAATCCATTTCTAAAATAAGTATTTTGGTATGGAATCATTTATGTAATCATTGCTAGCATATCAGTGCAAATTATATTTTGCATGTTAGTAAAAGTTTTGGGGAAAATGGCAAAGAGTTGGTAAAATACGAAAATTTGGTAAGCATACATGTACTGTTAAAAATACAATTTCATCATTGCAGGCCCATAATTTTAACCGCTATTTTGAGTACTGGTATTTGTAAACTTGATAATTCTGCCAATAAAACATAATTTTATTGTGGTACTGGGCAATTATGCAATAATACTATTTCTGAATCACAATTTCCTTCTTCCATACAATGCTATACCTTTAATAGCCTTCCCACAATTCTTCTAAAGAGTTCAACATGGACAGGCACCCACGTCATGCATTTTTATTATACCTAGGGCTACTATTATTTGCAAATATACATGTAAATGGGGCCTCATTCTAACCAATGACTGTTCCTGAAGTTCTTCTTCTGACATAAACTAAGTAACTAACAGTAATAATAATTTGGATATGTACATGTATAGTGCACAGTCCTAGTGAACACATCTGCCTGAAAAAGGTTCCCTGGGCGCACAAAACCATGATTTTAATACATTCTTATTTCTCAGATGTGAATGGGGCCTGATGAGTGCAAGCAACACTTACTGTGTTTGAACAGTTCTGATTAATAGGAGCCCTCTTACAAAATTCTGAGTGCGAATGGGGTTTCGTTCTACTCACTGGTTACTGGTTAATGAATATACAACATCGATTCCAAATTTTTTATCTGAATCTTCTCATGAATCTCCCAGTGTGAATGGGGCCTCATTCTACTCAATGATTGATGAATGCACAATACTTCTTCCCACTGAACTTCTAAATCATTCTCACTTATCAAACAGTGAATGGGACCCCATTCTTCTCATATTATAAGCGGCACTTACTCCCACTTCTTCTGAATCATTCTTAATTTGATAATGTGAATGAGGCCTCATTTTACTCGTTGATTGATGAATGCAAAACACTTCTTCCCACAGTCAATCAATCATGCGACATTTTAATGACTTGTCAGCAGGATTCTGTAAACCCTTTTCAGTAGGCGCGTCCTCACTATCTCGAGATTGCCAAATATCCAGCTATTTGAACTATCCCAATCGCAAACTATCCAGCTAATTTACGTCTTCATCAGACCGAAGTAGCAATTAGAAGGATATTTGGTCAGGATTGTCATCCCAAGATATCTTGGGATAGTTTGCAAAATATCCAGCTATTTGTCCCGTGTGTCTTCACTAGACCAAAGATTCGCAATACGCGCTAACGCTGAGCAAAATATCTCGAGCTGATTTCTCAAGGTCGAGTTTCAAGTTTCGAGGTCGAATCTCGAGCTAGTGAAAACGCGATTTGTTTCTTCAGGATTATTTCCCAAATCAGAAATAGCGAGGTATTTGGCAATCTCGAGATGATGAAGACAGGCCTAGTAAGTAAGAAGCGGTGATCTAATAATCACATCAGTGCCTTGATAATGGCATTTCAACATGCCACGTTGAAACTCAATCATTGAATTCTTTACACTTGCACATGGAAGAACACAGTCTCTCAATAGAGAGCTAATGGTTTCAGACAAAGCTTCTTTTAAAAGTTGTAAGCTCAACAGATTTGCTTGAGGTAAATTACCTTTTTATTCCAGAATTGGTACATTATCTACAGAGTGTATATTTCAAAACCCTTTTTTAAAATCAGTCAGGTGAAGAATGGCTTTTATTCCAGAGTACATTTAATCTACAAAGAGTAAATTATACTCAACTTATTTATATTCTCAGTCATAAATCACAGTGAAACATCGATAGTTTGAAGAAAGGAAAAAAGTGCTCAGAGGTTTGTTCTTTTCTTGGGGGGGGGGGGGGGGGAAGGGGTAGGGGCTACATAGCTTTATATGGAAGTGGTAATGGTTTTCTAAAATGTAGCTTACATCCCCCCCCCCCCTACAGCTATTTCTGTTAACCTTCCAGAGCTAAACTGCCCTCAGATCTGTTCATATGTTATATTTTTACAGAATTTGTAGGTGTTATTTTCTTCCTCTCATTTCACTTTAAAGCTGTGTACAGTGTATCTCTTCCTCCGTCCTCTCCTTCCCTATCTCAGTCATTCTCCATTAGAAGAAAAAAATGCCCTAATTTCAAGAATTCACATTCTTTTCTTCTAGCAGCTACATGTACCGAGGTACATGTACCGTAATTAACGTTGTATAAACCGCCCTCATGTATTAACCGCACCCCTCTTTTTTGCCCTAAAAAAAAAAATTAAAAAAAACTTTTTTTTTTCTTGAGCCTCTCTCCCCCCCCCCCCCCCCCCCCCCCCCCCAACCCCTTTGGCTCTTGATGGATGAAAGACTGAGCTTACCTGTAGACTGACAGCAAGCTGTCTGAAGTAGAAGAGATCCAGGTCCTCGATGATATCCCAACGTGATCCATCTTGAGCTATGCTGGATCTCACGTCCATAGAGGCAAGCTGAAAGATGAAAAATAGATACAAAATATGTCTATTTAAGAGTTGAATTCTGGGAAGAGGTGCACAATAATTTGTGAGTGTTATCAGTGATATTATGCAAGTGTGGAAGAACATCAGATAATGTTCCCTGAAAAGCATGGCTCTTCAAATGCTTTAGTATTCTAGATATGGCATGTACCATCATACAAATCGAAACAGATTTTTATGCCACATGTTTGTGTAGTCCCAAATAAATCTTTCTGTGTACAGTGCCAAATTTCTTATCATTTCAATGATTCAAGAACCTTGCAGTACACACCAATACTTAAATGCTAGATGATCAACCGTTTCTGATTGATTCCACACCATTTCTTTCACAATGCAATCGCATGACCAAAACTCAACTTTCTCTTTAATGTTTTTAGTATTTGTGGATCCATGTTCTTCTACATTACATGTACTTTAGCAGTGCTCAGGCAATATGAAAACACCAACCTTCCTCTCACATGTAGATGATATAGGAATTTTGCCTGTCTGCCTGAGCCTGATACAAGTAATACTTGTTAAAATATAAAATAAAAATCATCAATGATTGCATTGACTCAGGCATCATTTTTAGCATGACAGAAGACTATATTGCCTTTAGATAATTCCTAATGTCCCCAAAATATTCATACTGCCCTCATCTTCAACTTGGGCAATATGATTACAGTCAGGCCGTACAGTCTTACACTGTATATCTCCCTCAAAAGCCAGTTCTTCAAATACATTGTACTATCACTGTAGATTGGATATATTCAGATCATGAATCTCTTTCAAATATCCCCTTATGATCCCTGTCTATCATATTGAACAGAATAATCTGTTACTGAGGAATGGCTTTAGAAATTGAATTCAATTACTGGGGTAATAATAATTACAATGTAAAGCGCTTAGAAACGCATTATTAAGCGCTGTACAAATGTGACTATTATTATTATTCAAAAGAAAAGATTACAACTGTTCCTAAAAATATATTTAGAGCCAGAAAGGCATTAACTCAGTGTAAAATACATGAATCAATGCCCTTCTAGGTCTCAGGTGATGAAATAGTATCATGAATATTCATCCATTGTAGTTTTCATACAAAATTACTAATATTTCTAATCATCTAAAATTTAATTTTCTATTGAACTATCTGTCAGATTTCTATGAGTATGAATTATTAGTATGTATCTGCATGAATTTGTTCACCAAACTGTCGCTAAGATTAATTTCCAACCATCAGTTTCTCTGAATTGTTCTTGCTTGCATTCTAAGCATCTTCATAACAAGAAACAGGATGAACAAACTTATGTACCTTCAAATTACTTGTATATATATGTACAGTATGTATGTATATATGTACGTATATCTATGTACCTTCACATTAAAACCATCATTGATTGGAGGAATATTAGGCCTGTGTGTGCTCTAGTACCAGTAGTCCAGTATTAGGAAATCAGCTAATTTTTGATGCAATGTCACATACATTTATTATCCTCTTGAAAATAGGTGAAATAACAAGGTTTCTGTTTCTGTTCTTGGTGATAATAGAATGATGTTCAGGGTAAGTACATACATATAAATTATCACTCTTAATAAGTCTAGTCAATAGGAGCTCAGTAGATACTTGCAATAACAGGTAGTGTGGCAGACATGTATCTAATAAACTTCAGTGATTAATTTTCATCTCGAAAGCAAAATACTCTTTGATTTGACCTGAGGTTATTACATACATGTAGTAGATGATACTGTTCAGTGTATGTTCTGTATGAAATGCTAGCATTTTTCACTGCACAATTACAGATTTTGTTCAGGATATAACGCAAGACGTACAAATATACATGTACTAAATATATGAACAAAAACAGAGGCAAACAACTAACAGAGAACATGCCATCTGTTAAGAGCCAGAAGGGCATTAACTCTGTGTTAAGTATACAAGTTAACGCCCTTCTGGCTTTCAAACAATGATGTTCTTTTGAGTTCATCAACCTTAAATATTGTGAAGGTAAAATATTATGTCCCTGAACACTGCAGAGAACATACCTAAAGAGAAATTCCCCATGATATCTTGAAAATGAGAAGAGGCAATTCACCAACCGAGCCCCCTTCCTATTTCTTCATTAGGCTTCGCCATCCCCTTTTGTGGATCAATTCCACTCAAATCATTGATCGCATCACATGACCTTCACAGAAGTGGACACTTGCGCCATAATTACCAACTAGGTTCACTCAAGGATGGAAATTGAAATCGGCGTGGTCAAACGGTGGTGAAATCTACTCCACCGGTATGACTCACTGGACCAGAAGGAATAGATGATAGTCGTTTGCCCGGAGCGTGTCACTTTCTGACTCATCCCACCCCTCCAAAAAAATGCAAAGACCCCTGTTACACCAAAATCCCAGGTATTTCAGGCTACTTTTCAATGGTTCTCCTTATTGGTGAAATCCTAGAGTGTTTGTAAACTGATATCCTTTTCAAGCCAAGAGATAGTGGACCATTTTCCGATGTGACCAGAGACCACCACTTCATGATATTGGGTCAGATGTAATCGCTAGGTAATACTCCAGGTACATGCACAGGTAGCTTGCAGCTAAGAATTTGACACCTCACCTGCGTGCGGATTACGTCAATCTTAAGCCACCGTGACCAAAAATAGAAAGCTGCCCTCCAAACATGTCTTGGGTCAGTGGGGTTGTGGTAAGGAAAAAGGGATTGGGATTGGTGTCAAAACTGTCAAATTTATGGAAAAGCTTCTTTAAAAATTGTAGGGTTGAAAAAGAGGTTTCATCAAGTTGACCTCACTTCAGGCTTTTTCCGTCAAAGAATAGGGTTACGATTAGCGGTATATATATATATATATATATGCAGTTAATTTTGAAAGGGTTCGTGTTGTAGTTACTTGTTGTAAACATGTATGTACACATGTAGGTATAAAGTTTGGTCCAGAACTTAAGCTATGAATTTGGTTAGAGTAGAGCCCATGTCATATATACGCTCGCCGTCGAGGTTAATGGTTTATAACAACAGAGCCTGCACATGAGGTTCACCGCAAAACCATTCAAGCAACAGACTAAAGCTGGGAAAATTCAGTGTTTGGTGCTGGTGTGATCATGCACCAAACCATTGTTTAGCACAAAACTTGTTTTGAACCAGCAACCTTGACAACTTGGCCAGTATGACATTCACACTTTAGGCGTGTCTGCATTATCTCAAGATTGCCAAATATCCAGCTATTTGAACTATCCCGATCGCAAACTATCCAGCTAATTTGCGTCTTCATTAGACCGAAGTAGCAAATTAGCTGGATAGTTGGTCGGGATAATATCCCAAGATATCTCAGTCTAGTTTGCGGTTTTCCGTGCTTACTCGAGGTCAGTGGTTGTACTAGCGCGCTGAGCAGTATAGATCGCATGTGCGAACCGGAAATCGTTGTGCATGATGGGATCGGGATATTTGACTCCGGACTTCGGTCTAATGACGACGGTCGTAAACTATCCCGCTAGTTCGGAAATAGTGGGATATTTTGCAAACTAGACCGAGATATCTTGGGATATTATCCCGACCAACTATCCAGCTAATTTGCTACTTCAGTCTAATGAAGACGCAAATAGCTGGATAGTTTGCGATCGGGATAGTTCAAATAGCTGGATATTTGGCAATCTCGAGATAGTGAAGACGGGCCTATCGATACTCCATTGACCATCAAACATTTGTAGCCAGGCCCAGGGCATGTCTTTGGAGAACCTCAGTCTGGGACAGTTTTGTTCGGTGTGACAGGGGTCTGAGTGAATGCACTCTGGCCCCTGAAGAGATGGTTAATTACACCTGCTTATATGATCAGAGCAATGGAGTTAGTATGGAGTGCCTAGAGTGGAAGAAGTGCTTTCATAATCAAACCCTCTGGGTGATCTGGTAGAAATATTCAGGAAACTACTAGAAGTGCATAAATTCCTTTACCGGGCTTTACTTAAATGGCTCCCACCTGGGGGTGTCATATTGTCAGTTGAGTGCAAGAAGGACGTTAAATATATGCAATGTATGTGAGCGAACTGCCTTCTGGCTCTACACAGAAGACATACAGTACATGTACATGTACATTTAATGAGAACTATAAATGGCTCATGCCTGGGGTATCCTGTTCTATGTTGAGAGCCAGAGGGGTGTTAGCTCTGTGTAACAGTAGGAGTTAATGCCATTCTAGCTCTCAGCAGACATTGTGCATTTGATTGGAAGACTTCCTTTTGCTCCATTTGCTAACAAAATAATTGGGTTACTACATTTTGAGTCATAAGCAAGAGATAGTAGGCCTGTGGCCATATTAAGAAATTAAGGTTTCTCTTTTTATAAATTGATCTGTGCTCACAAAGAACTCAAGAGAACTTCAAGACAGATTTTTTGAAAAGCTGAATACAGACGAGTACATGTGTGTTTTGATTGAAACCAAAACAGTGCTTTTATCTATCGTCAGGATTTGTCAGTATTCCAGTGGCTGAAAATCTGTATTCTGTTGAGGGAAACAGTCATTCTCATTTGTACCATAGAACGACACAGACACAGGATGACAAATCAGAATGTTTACATTAAAATTGCAGTACCGTATTCTAAAATTTCACAACGAAAAACAGAAATTGGTAGAGTTTTGTACTTAGCAGCTGTAGCTAAGTAATAATAATAATAATAATAATAATAATGTAACTTATATCGCGCCAAATCCACTCTGTGGAGTGCTCAAGGCGCGTGTAAACAGGAAAAAAGATCAAGACTTGAAAAGAAATGTTTTGAGATGAGTTTTGAAAGAATCAGAGGATAAATATTTTTTGATGTCTTCAGGAAGGCCATTCCATAATTTAGGACTAGAGTATGCAAATGATCTTTCCCCCCACGTTTTGGTAATTTTGGGGGTCACAAGAAAATTGGAAGTGGATGAGCGTAGAGGTCTTGCAGGAGTGTAGTTTTGGATTAGAGAGATAAGGTATTGAGGAGCAGAGCCGTG